TTGGCGCGTAGTGGCTCGCTGTGGCGCCGAATTAATGTCCGCTCGGCATATGTCGCCAAGTGGAATAAACTGGGTGCCATATGGCGTGCGCCAAATGCCACCCGGCTTGCTCCAAAATGTTGCGCCAGTTTGCGCCAGTTCGCGCCATTACACGGCCATTTGCTTCCAAAATTCACCCTGTTGGCGCCATTCGCGCCAATAGACGGCTACTTTGCGCCACTTGGTGATTAGTTTGTGCCAAAGGTCGCCAAATTGGTTTGAACTTGCCGCCGCTTGGCGCTACTTGCCGACTATATAAATACCGGCCATCGGCTACCTGGTTCAGACCATCCTCAGCTGCTGTATGAACAACATCTCTACTAAATATTTACAATTTTGATATGTCTGAGGCTTTTGATAATGTTGGAGTGATGATGCTGCTCCATCAGAAGATGATGAGAGATTCTGAGGTGGCCACTGCCTATCAACTTATGCTGGCCAATCCTGAAGAAGAAGAGCCTCCTAAGAAGAAAAGGAAGCACACCTGGTGGTTTAGACCCATGCTCCACCCACAGTTGAGGGCCGAACGTGGACAGTACCACACTTTGATGGAAGAGCTTAGGGAGAATGACAGGAGGAAGTTCAATAACTACACCAGGGTGTCCCCAGAGATGTTTGGTGACCTGTTGATCAGGCTTACAACCCACTTGCAGAAGAAGGACACCCACTTCAGGAAGGCCATTCCCCCTGGTCTCAAGTTGTCCGTCTTCCTGCGCCATCTCGCCACTGGGGCCACCTATGCCGAGCTGTCTTACAACTTCCGAGTGGGCAAGGAAACCATCCAGAAGTTTGTCCCTGATGTAGCCAGAGCGATAGTGGATGAGTATGCTGCAGAAGTCATCTCCCTCCCCACAACCAATGAAGGCTGGCTTGAGGTTGCAGGTGATTTTGAAGCCAGATGGAATCTTCTTCACTGTCTGTGAGCCTATGATGGAAAGCACATCCATCTCCAGAAGCCCAACAAATCTGGCAGCCTTTACTTCAACTACAAGAAGTTCTTCTCGGTTGTCCTGATGGCTCTGGTAGATTCAAAGTACCAGTTCATGTGGATCGATGTGGGTGGGGTTGGCCATCAGTCTGATGCCTAGATCTACAACAACAGTGAACTGAAGGAGTGTATTGAAGCTGGCACTTTAGGCATCCCAGATCCAGCTCCTCTTCCCCATGATGATGAAGAGCACCCTATGCCGTACATCTTCGTGGGAGACGATGCCTTCGCCATGAGGACGTACATGATGAAGCCCTATGGCTGTCGTAACATGGACCAACAGCAGAAGATCTTCAACTACAGGCTGTCCAGGGCAAGGCGTGTGGTTGAAAATGCCTTTGGCATTCTGGCTCTGCGGTTCCAGTGCTTCCTTGGCAAGATGAGACAGGAACCAGATACAGTCCGCCTGCTCGTTGAAGCTGCCGTCATGCTGCACAACCTCATCAGGAAGCGCTATCAGGCACTGGACGTCCGCATGTTGGACCAGGATGATGCCCAGCACAACCTCATCCCTGGAGCTTGGAGAACTGCCGCCATCACTGTGAGAAAGTCCTGCGATGCCGCCCTGCTTTTATAGGCGGCAAGTGGCGCCGAATGGCGGGCAACCGGGTGGCATTTGGCGCGAAGTAGTCACCAATCGGGTGCCGTTTGGCTCGCGTAGTGGCGCAAACAAGGTGCCCTTTGGCGCCAAGTGGCGCCATGTTGCGCTAAATCTCATTGGCGCAACTTGGCGCGCGCCATTACATTCCGGTGGATTCCAATAGGCGGATTGTTTGCGCCAAAGGGCGATATGTTCGCGCCATTTGGTGCCACTTGGCGGACACTTGGCGCTGATTTCTCGATGCAAGTGGCGCGACGAAAATTTCAAACATTTTGAAATTTTCTTGCCGCCACATTCAAATTTGGCGCCGTTACGGGCCACCACGAGCCAGTTGGGAGGCAGTTTGAGCCACTACACGCCACTAGGCACCTTATTGGCGACACTAGGCGCTAGAGCAAATTGCATTGGCGCAAACTGGCACCAACTGGCGCCGGCCCAGTGGACTCGTAGCATAAGATTGGGATCCAGAAGGGTCCCCCTCGCACCCTGAAATAAAGCTGAAAATCCGAAATTCCTCAAAGCGGGCTATATACGATGCATATCATCTTATTTGATTATGACTTTCTTCAAAGCATCATTATCCATCCATGAATATAATTATATCCGTATATGCTGTTCATAGGAAGATGGAACGTGTAATGAGATCTATAAGCTATTATAACAATTTGAAAAGCTAGAAGTTCCGGAGCAATAACCTGTAACATGTTTTACAAAAAATAGCCCACCTGTCTCGCCTTTACAGTATACTGATTGGCTATTCTCCTTTCAATGGAACAAAAAAAAAAGCGATTTCGCTATTTCGCTTGATCACCCAACCAACGTGTCAGTGCGCATTTCAGTCAGCTCTCTCTCATTATCTCGAGTACATGTAATGAAGATAATTATGAAGTGCTCTACAAATATACATGACAGCAGCCTCAACCCTCCATTAACTTATCTCCGCGTACTTTCTCGACATTGGAAGTAGTATGGAGGGCGGGTTCATAATACATTATATGCTTTTAATGAAGAGAGCCTGTTAGATGGTTCAATGATTTGTGATTAGAGGTTCGATAGATGAGAAACGACTGAAAAAATAATGGTATAACAAATGATGGCAATCAGGCGATTAAATGCCTTATAGTCACACTAGGTGTACCACCGCCTGCTCACTTAAGATAACCAGAACAATTTGCAAAACTATTACTATAATTGTGTTACCACTCATGGACAAATTTGCGAATGGTTGGCAGTTGTTCGGCTTCATCAGTTAAAGGGCCCACACCAAAAATAACTTAATTTCAATAGAAGCAGAAATATCAGGTAAACCAATTAAAAAAAGTTTGAGCAAAATCAGATAACTAATAAGAACGTTTTGAATTTTTAATGACATGAAAAACTTAGAAAATCACAAGACAAATTGGCAACTTACTCATGAGTCTGTGACGTCATTGTCTCCTTATATTGACTATATACATTTCCAATTTTCTCCCTAAAAATCTTATTTCCTCACACCACAATGATAGTAATATATTTTTGTGTGGATGAACTAATATAGAGGAATTCTTTTTTCAGTTAAATCATGAAGAAGAAAAAAATGCTATCCGTAATAGCCTATATATATAATTATTGAGTAGCTAATGCCCCAAGGGAGAAGGCACTTAATAAGAAAACAGACATTAATGATATTTTTGTAAGCGAAAAGCGGAAGAGTTATTCGCGACTACGTCACTTCCACTGACCAAACTGCCAATTTGAGACTCGAATACACTTTAGTGATATATTATATTCAAACCTTCATAATTTTATCATTATTGGTCTGATTTGTTTTGCCATTCGCCATTCTGTTTCCCTTAGTTTTCTGATAACATGCAATTTAACTTATTACACGGGTTTGATTGTCCTTTAAAGAATGACCCAACACACAGTATTCACGAAACACGAGAAGAGTATCTGTTATAGAAATTTGCAAGAACTCATTATCAGGTGCTCATGTATATACCACTCGTAAAAATTCATTTTGAGTCAATTTCTAATCCCATGGCAAAAAGCCTATATACAAAAAACATAATATTACAATAGCACATGAAATCATACATTGATACATGCATGTATAAATACTCTGTAAGAGGCAAGTACTTTCTTTATTTACGAATAAGCGGGAAATTCCCATTTAGCATAGAATGTTCTGCATGTAGCGGTTGCCTATGGAGGCCTGCCTAATGTCAAAAGAAAAACATTTGACGCATTTGAATGACTATAACATATCTCGAATAATGATAAAGTTTGTATAATTTATTGAATTAAACATTGCTGAATTTGCTTGGAGTAACTTTCAGGAACCTCTCCCTAAAATAAGTGATAACAATGGAACAATAAATTCATTAAATACAAATTTGAGATTCGAAAATTCCTCTAATGTTTAATGTTAGATCTATATCAAATATTTAGGATTTTTGTCAGTCTTTGATGAGAAGTATAACAAAATGTTCACATTTTTTAAATTCGAAAATCTATTTTGAAAGTATGGGGTCAGTCTCATCGACTACAATCAAAAGCCTATTTCCCCCAAGGTAACGTCCCCTCAAAGACATCGACTGACCTCACATATTCAAAAAGATTTTCTCAGGGCTCAGGCCGTATACTTGGATATTTTTACATTATCGATCAAATATCTTTTCAAGATGTTTTTGTCAAAATTATGACTGTTGAAATATTTACACATCATACGAGAATAAGATATAGTGACAACGTTGTTTCTGAAGTCTGAAGTATCAACGACGGTTAAACAATACAGAGCATGTGAGACAAATGAAATAGGCATGCGCTAGATTTGAGGAAGTGTTCGTTTAAAAATTGCTTAAACTGCTAATGCTACTTCAAGAGATCAATCATCCTGTAACATCATATTACATTTAAAAGAAGCGTATTCCTACAAGCCATATTATTCTATTTTATATAATTATAATAGATGTTTTTGTTTTGTTTTGTGTATTTTTTTAATTTTTTTTTACAAAGGTTGAAAGGGAAACATGGTGTGGCTCCGATCGAGGTCATTGTCCAAACTCGTCAGGAAAACCAACAAAGATAAAGACCTTGATTTTACATTACAATACCATTATCACAATCATGGCAATGAAGCCATGATACTTTCAGACAACATAAACGGAGTACACTATGACTTCTTAATTTTTTACATTTTAGACAAAAACACCACTCTACATGTTTTATAATTACATGTATACATTTTTCAGAACGAATATACATATATAATGGGAACGTATGTAGGTAATGAAATTTGGCAGAAAACATAGAAATCGCTTGAACACAAGCAAGGATGTCAACCTACAATCTGCTCGTGAAGATAATTGCTTTCTTTCTATAATTTAATTTCTAAGGTTTATGTCCATCCTGTGTTCCGGTGCTACTTCGACCTCTTGAATACTCTCTCCGAGAAAGAGTCGTCCACAGCGTTGAGTTATCCATGGATGTTCGCCAGAGTTTCTTCACTCGTTTGTTGGCACCAAATGAAATAAAAATGAAGACGCCTTGGAGACTGATGACGATGACGAAGAGATAGTCCATAAAGGGGACATCGATGACCATAGCTAAGAACCCAAATAACCAGGCGAATCCAAGAAGAGCTGAGATCTATTACAAATGACGAGAAGGTAGAGAGACCAAAGGAAACAGTTCAGCTATACTTGGATTTCAAAAGCGCAACACTTGTAGTCGCGGGTGTAGTTATAATTAGAATCAATTGAAGGGAAGAACCAAACATAAATTAAATTAGAAGCTGGTTAAGAGACAGAGAGAGAACATATACTAAGACAGAGACAGATTGGAATGGTGGAAAGAGAGAGAGAGAGAGAGAGAGACAGAGACAACAGAGAATCATTATAATTTAACTTATACGACATGTTTATTATTTTTCACGGTTATGGTAATAGGAATTTACTATTTATGTTTCCTGAATAATTGTTGTTTGTTTTTTTTGTCGTGTAAGCATTTGTAGAATTATGTTGAATAAATCTCTACAAATTATTTAATCACAATTTAGAAGGGCCAATGAGCGACAACATAATCAAAATGGTAGATTTACACTTTCGACATGCTAGACCTAACAGTACAGAACAGTTTAATTAATCACGTTAACAGTGTTAATCTTCTATTTTGAAAATGTTGTCACCCCTCGTCTTTTGATTTACTTTGTTACATTAACAGGCATGTTATAGCTATATTGTGAACAAAACACTTTAACATCTGCTGAATAGAATCACTCAATATTTCATTCATTCAACCTATTGATATGGACTTGCTAATGTAGGACTATGTTACTATGTCCAATGTTTTATATTCATAGATGAAAATGGAGATTCATCCAGTATCGTTGGAAGTTACAGCGGAGTGTGATTCAATTACTGAAATTAGATCTATTAGCTACTCCGCGACATCTCACCAGTTCATAATGGCTTTTACATGTGCTCCAATTCCCATTTGAGGAGGGGGGGGGGGGGGGGGGGGGGGGGGGGGGGGGGGGGGGGGGGGGGGGGGTCATCTTTGATTTTGTTTTGATCGTCCGGTGGTTGAGCAGTGAAATGGGCACGTGAACTTCTTATCTTAAGGCCCGGTCACACAGGGAGGACGCATGGGGAACGCACGGCCAGCGCATTGGAAATTTGCAATTTTGGCCAGTGCGTTGTCGTGCGCCCAACTTTTGTCGAAGCTACAGCGAGCTGACACCAAATGCATAGCGTGTTGCTAGCGCGCTGAGCGCATACAGGGCGCATACAGTGCGCATACAGACCGTACACAGAGCGCACATGATGTTAACTTCCACGAATGCATAGCGTGTTGCTAGCGCGCTGGACGAATGGTCCACGCATGCACCGCGTTCTACGACGCACGGCCAGCGCATTGGAAATCGGAAAAGAACGTGTGCCTAACTTATGTCATAATTTTGGAAAAGCTAGCGAGCTGACACAAAATGCATGGCGTGTAGCTAGCGCGCTGTGCGTATACAGGGCGTGTGCTCCGCCGCTCCACGCATGTCTGGCGCTGGTCTAGCGCGCTCCACGCATGTCTGGCGTGCCTTTGGCGTGTATATTCATGTGTCGAGCTCGGCGCACGTTTTTGAGCATGCTCAAAAAATCCCGACGCACACAGCGAATGACGACGCATGCATAGCGCTGGTCCAGCGTTGGTCCAGCGCGCTCGACGAACGAGTAACGAATGATGACGCACGCCTAGCGAACGACAACGCACTGGCCCAAATTGCAAATTTCCAATGCGCTGGCCGTGCGTTCCCCATGCGTCCTCCCTGTGTGACCGGGCCTTTAGCGGGAAACTAGTTACGGGAGAGACCTTTTAGTAGGTGACACGTCACAAACAATTACGAAAGGCGAACAGCCAGGTAGCTCACAATTACTCACAGACAAGTACTTTAGTGACTCTGTATACCACTATGTTGCAGGTGAATATAAGTGAATCAGGCGTGCCTCTAGCCGGTTTGGAATATTAACATCTGACAACCGCACACAAAACAGAGAAAGCTACTCATTGTAACAGCCCACAACTAAATGATACGTAGGCCTACCATCGTCTACGGCACCAGATGGGATGACAGAGAATGTAGAGACTCCTATGCTACGTCAATGGAAGTCAATTAACATAAACTAATAAAACCTACATTCACTGCATACAGTGCTGTTTTCAAAGTATCGTTGACGACATAAGTCTTGTTTTCAGAAGCTTTTGAATAGTCGTTTGTATTATGTGTCTGTAACGTAGATAGCACTGTTAGGAGTAGTAGTCAAATTAATCGAATTATGATTATCATAATACCTGATTCAGCTATTTTCTCACACCTCAACACGACGGGACACTTTTTCCAAACTAGCCTTAAAATCTAGGGCAGAGAAGGACCGTAGTTCGAGTAATGCTACGGTCACAAAGGTTCGTACGAACGATAATTTCGTACGAATCTCCGCGTTTATCCATTGTCTTCCCGAATTTCCATTGTCTGAAAAGCGTTCGTACGGCGTTCGTAGCAATTTGTAATGGCATTTGTGACCGAGGCTTTAGGGGTAAAAGAAGTGATTTGGGAGAGAGTGAAAGCGCTACCAGTAACAAAAAGGGGGACAGGGTACTATGAGAAGTCATCAGCCGTCTCTCCCGTAACTAATTTTCCCGTTAAGAAGTTCACGTGCCCACTTCATGGGCATCAGACGTGAAGAAAAGGACGACGCCCCCCCCCCCCGAAACAAGAATCAGACCACCAGAAGAAGCCAGGATGGACTGATAAAACGACGTTGAGTAGTAAGTAGATCTACTTCCATTAAATTGCTTCACAATTCGCTATTAAATTTTAGAATCATTATGCTTTGAGGAAACAGCATTCTTGTTCGGAACGTACCTTGACATATATTCTGAGTTCAACCGCCCATTGTTTGAATTGAGAGTCCTGGCCAGATTTTAGCACCGATGTTGTTTTCTTGGTAGAATGAACTCCATGTACCGTGATGACAAAAAACACGAGATTGGAAAGTAGACATACAGACATTGGAACAAAGAACATGACTATGCTAGATAGTTTGGCAAGCCAGCATCTACTATTGTCGTATTCCAATAAAGGACCATTCTGAAATCCTCCAAACTGAAGTACCAAAGTGATCAAGACAAAGACGAGAGGAGTGCCCCATCCAATAACAAGAAAAGCCACCATCTTACGACCAAATGAGCTAGATGAAAACGATTTCATCTTACTTGCTGCGAAGCTTCGACTCAGGTCCCAAGCAAGGATAGTCGTCCAAACAAACGAAGCAAGGAAAAAGAAATGGGATAACGCAGCAACGACTATGCAAGGTATTCCCAACTGGGAGACTGAAAGACGTATGTACTGAAGGAAGATTTGTCCAAGGAACAACGCAACAATGAAATTCATTATGGATACACCTTGACGATTCCGCAAGGTAGAAAAGGCAACGTAAGTAATCAATGTAGCAAAGAGAAAAACTGATGATATGGCAAAGAGAACATGTCCTAGGATCATCAATGTCCTATCAACGGGTGTGACCTGATCAATATAGCAGATGCTTATGGAACCATCGGGATGAATCAGAATGTCCTCTGTGTCGTACATCTGACCTTGATACAGAATAACAGACTGGTTTTCTTGGTAGTCCCATTCAATGGAATCATTGGAAACCGTGAAGAAAGAGCAGGTTTGGAGAACAATCTCGGTCCCACACACAACAAACTGATACTCTGACGAGACGTTGGCATTGCTGAACTGCATGTTGGTGATATTACTCCACCATTTTGGACGAATATAAGTTCCATTGAAGAAAATAAGAGACTCGTTGTTGATAAGAGAAGGCGTAAAATCCAAATAGTATCCAACAAACATTTCCTCGGGACAACGATGTGTTATGTTTCCAGGGTTGTCTTCGACATAACAGGACTGACTAGCTGATATTACTATGTCCTTGCAATCGTCTCGGCTAGGAGTTTGAAGTCGATGTATGATGTCTCTCTGGATTATATCAAGAGATGGGTTCATGTCATTTCTGTAAATCAAGCTGAATGTTATAGTATCATTAACCACGTCTGTTGAAGACCTTACTAGACAAGGTAGTGGAAGTATTACAGATGTTGTAATATTGTCTATGGTCACCTCCCTGAAACAAAACATCTCTTCTAAACACTCTACAGTTCCGTTACTTTGTTTGACTCCAAAATGATTGGATTGACAGACGGGCCAATCGGATGATATCGGAGCGCAGTCACCATTATCATCCAATTCAAATCCTTCAATGCATGCTAGGGTTATGATGGGTTTGGGTATTTTAAAAATTTCAATTATTCCTACATCAACTCGATCCATTGATTCTACTTGTGCAATTCTATCTGAAAAATCAACAGACATTTCTATAGGACATCTGACAGAGGAACCTCCATTGCAATTACTGCATGCAGGATGCTTACTTACAACACCTTCACTAATGAATGGTTTGTAATAATACTGACACTCGCGGGATATCTGTTCATTAGTCCCGTTTGGACAACTTTCCGTTGTATTCACGAGGCAAAGTCGAGGTTTTGGGATAGTTTGAACAGTAGACATATCTATATCAGATCCGCTGGTATTCATCGAAACGTTGGACTGTAATGTGGGCATTGGGGTCATGCATTCAAGGGTATTATTATATCCCCACGAACATTGTTGGTCTGCTGAAATGACAACAGCTGTCAAGGAACTTTCTTCATACCCATGGCAAGTAGCACAGCCCAGGTTTCTAAAGTACGTGTCCTGGTAAATATAAAGAACATCTATAGTTCCATTGTGAGGAACCTCTTCACAGTTTCGTTTGACATCCTCCTCTAAAGACCATCCTGATGGGCACCTAGCAATCATCCTGTAACCATGTCCGAGCTCTGGGTAGAATAGTGGAAGGAAAGTATCAACGATACATTCCCATACGTCAAGGTCTAATAGAGTCTCGTTTGATAGATTCTCGTTTGATATAGTCTCGGCTGACAGAGTCTCGTTTGACAGAGTCCCGCTGGAGATTGGCAGAGGGTAGTTTGGACAGCAATCACCAAAGAATTGGCACATGTCATCGCAACTACATACAGTCGTTTCTTCGCCACCAAGGCAGAACTCCTCAACACAGTAATGCGCGTAGACAATCCCTGTGGAAAAAGTGTTAAGGCATCAGTATTAATCATATTGATTAATTGTGAATCTTTATTCATTCATTACAAATTAAACGATTCAAAAGATGCAGAAAGGGTATTCAATTCATGGTTGGGCGGTAAATACCGATATTTACTGGTATTACTGCCAGATAAATGTTATAAACCAAGGGAAAATACTCTAAAAAGAAATATCTTTAACAGTGAAACCTTAGATTTAGGAAGAATCTACAAAAAGCATTCTATATAAATGTTCAGACAAATAAAATATTACTGATCAGGGATTCAAATAGTCATTTGATTAATAAAATCTAAATCTCAATATAACATTATTCCAAGATTCCTTGGAGGAAGAAATGCTAAATCGACACACAGAGTCGCAGTGAAGTATAGTGCGATTGAAACCGATTTGGCTGTTATTCTGACCAGAAAGCTTAAAGATAAAGTTGAGTTCTGGGCATGCGATTGCATTGTGAAACGGTGGGGAATCGATCAGAAAAAGTTGATCATGTAGCATGTAAGTATTTGTGTGTACTGCAAGGTTTTGGAATCATCAAAACGTTAAGAAATTTGGGCCAGTCTTGATAAAAGTATATAACATGCACTGTAAACAAAAATATGTATATGGGATTATTAAGCACAAACATGTGGAATAAAAATGTGGTTCTCATTTTTAAGCTGTTTCATGTCATATTTAGAATATGAAGGTATTTGAAGAGCCATGCTTTTCAGGGAAAATCTTCTCTCTGATGTTCTTCCGCACTTGAATAATAACAGTGAAAACGCCCACAAATTAATTTTCATTTCCTCTATGCAGAGCTCAACCTTCTCTACAAATACATCAAAACTCCGGTGTTAGTTTTCCTATCTCTACTTAGAACCTAAATCAGGAAGACAACGTTTGTTTAGATTACTGTATCCAATACGATTGTCATTTCTTTGAAAATCGGTTCGCAAGAGGGTCGTATATGTATATAGTGTGCGGTGGACTTCGGACATAATCATGCTGCGTTGTATATGCCGGGTATACTTACCTGAGTCTGGAATAGTAATGTCTATATTCTCAACGGAGAAAATCCTGAAATCCTGGAGTGAAGAATAGGTCACATTGTCTGTACAGAGAAACGAGAAAAGAAAACATTAATTATAGCTTCTCGTGAAGTGAAATAGTTGAACGAGTTTAAGTCTTCGGTATATATTTTATCATTATACTGTATCAATACATTTTATACATAGAATACTGCATCTACATAATCATCACAGAACGTAACAATGCTTTATATAGCTTTACATGTATAATACTATCCTACAAATATTATGCAATTATGTATTAGAGTCAGAAAAAAGGGAAATGAGTTACAGGAAATTGTAACTACGTTAATCATTACATCATAAGAATGTTACTTATTCAAATTGTGTTCTCTAACAATTGAAGCTCCACAAATTTCATTGATCAATCCCCTGTAAACTTTTCGGGAGTTAAAAACCTTGTTGTCAACCCAAAACCCCAGCGCTGTAACTGAAATAAAAGCTGCTGCAGATAGTTCATCAATTACCTGTATGGTTTCCGGGAGTATAAACTTCGATGTTCATCCTAAACCCAAGCTCTGTCTTTGAACTGTCTGAGGTAAAAGCCAGCCACATCTCATTGCTGTTAGAGACTATGATATTAGGTAGAGAAGAACCTGAGAGAGTAACCAATAATGATGCTGTATCATCTGGATTAAGACCAGAACCGATCCTCAAGATATCGAAGTTGTATTCCAGATCAAAGGTGCTAAAAACTGCCATGATCTGGTAGTCTGCTGGTCCAGAAACAAGCCATTGAGTGTTGACGTTATTTGGATAGTTGTCTGGATAGTTTGGTGAAACGATCGTCAAGTTCTCTCTGTACGTACCGAATTCTGTCCCGATGTCAAGATCTTAAAAAGAAATATGAAAGATTCAAGTGGTTTGATGGAGATTTTCCTAGATATCGAGCCATGGGGAGTGACTGTATATACACACCCACGTACCCTCACGCACATCCACAAACTTAATGCCCTAGATGGTTTGTGCGAAAATTCGGCAAACAGAGCTTCATACACTCGATATCATAGAAGATGAAGATCTTTGATGAGATGACCTTGGTTGAGATGTCTTCCCCAGCATGCCTAGCATGTCAGCAATATGAGTTAGAATTTACAACGCAGCTATATGTACAAAGTGAGTCAGAAAAAATGTCCCACTTTTTAAAAGTTGTATTGTTTGAATTATGAATATTCAATCATGGGTTTCATGATATGTCTTGATAGAGTTATCCTCCCAGTACCATTTTCATTTAAATATCTGCATGCATGACTGAACATCAGACAATCTTTACAAGACTGCCAGATCTCAATTGCGCCAAGTTGCTGGGTGAGGAATAACATAGTGTTTTGAATAGTGTTTTTGAGACAGCCAGATAGACAAAACACACACGCACACACACAACACACACGGTAACAATAATTGTTTCATAATTTTCCCTTTTCTGATTAAGCATTCCTTTTTATCCAGATCGCTGAATGTTGCAGTGGCGTTTCCCAGACAATCTTTTCCACTACCACCATAATATCATCATCATCGTCATCATCTTAATCTTCATCTTATCATCATCATCATTAACATGAAGTGCATATGAATCCGATGTGCTATCTCAATACGTAGGTATATATTATCAATCGTTGGCTATGTCTTTTGTTGGTGTGTGGATGTGCGTGTGTTTATGTTTGTGTGCCTGTACGTGTGTGTGTTCCTGTGCGTGTGTGTGTGCGTGTGTATGTGTGTGTCTGTGTGTCTCTGTGCGTGTCTGTGTCTGTCTGACTGCCTTTGTTCAATGCACTGTTTTATTCCTCAACTAGTAACTTGACGCAAGTGAGATTTGGCAGTCTTAATTGTCTGATGTTCAGTCATGCATGCAGAGATTCAAATGAAAATGGTACCTAAATGTACTGGAAAGATAACTCTATCAAGACATATCATGAAACCCATGATTAAATATTCAAACAATACAACTTTTTAAAAGTGGGACATTTTTTCTGACTCACTCTGTAGAGGTGTCGTGGTGTAGTGGATAACGTCACCGGACTGTGGATCACATGACCAGCGGGTCGAGGCACGTAAGTCTCCTTCGGCAAGACATTAATCTACATTGCTATTATACACCCAGGCGTAGTAGATTAGGTAGTTGGTAGGAATTTATTCCTTGAATACTTTTAGCGCCGTATGGCAGCTTGGCTAGAACCAGGATAATAAAAATACTTTGTGGGCACCATGAGCATCCCCTGGGATGGGTACGTAAGCAATATAAATTTAGCTCTTACCATTCTAAATTTCTAATCATATTATATGCAGTTTTAAGTGGTTTGGTGTCTTAAAATATGTATGTTGCTAATCCATCGCCCACGGACTATCTGAATAACAACCGTTTAATAGTGAATAAATGAATACATGAATGATTACATGTGTGAATGTTTCATGATGATGGTTTAAGCTTAAGCCTGACATATAGCAGGATATCTATCATGACAGGACCTCGGACAATATCACAAGGTCCATCAAATTTGGAATACATTAGGAAAGAACTTGATCGGGGTTGAATAAAGAGACATTGTTGGATTTTTTTAAAGTGAGCAACAAAACAACGGAAAAAGGGGTATATACAGTGCGTCCCAGAAAAAAAACCAAACCGAGAATTATCGATGTTTCATCATAACTTAATCACAATTATAATTAATACATGACACATATTTGTTAAGCTTAGATCCTCCTCTGTCAATTTTTTTTTTTTTTTTTTTTTGGTAAAATGAATTTATTGATAAATATACGCTTTTGAACAAATCAAACAATCATACACAATCAATTGAAATAACATCGTAGCATCTTAACATAGTTCAAATAAAACATGTTTCGTTTTCTTGAATAACAGTGTTTTAAAAAATGCAGGGCTTTTTTGTTTTACAGTTCCTTTCGATCTTTAATCGGTTGTGGATTAGTCTTTTGAAAATACAAAGAATAGATACTTCATGAAACATGAGTTTGCGATTTTCTGCTGGTATAAATGTTAAATAAACTGCGTATATTTTGCATATATGATAAGAAAATTTTAACTTTTAAATATTTTGTTTTTCAAGTTATAACCTTCAATTAAAACGAACTTGTCAAAAGAAAAATTAACATTGTAAAGTTTTCGAATTATGTCTCCAAATTTTAACCAAAACAATCTTGTGCTTGCATTTTACAAATAAATAGAGATTGTCGTGTAACTGATTATCATATAAACATAAGGGATTGTTACACAATTTCCATTTGAATAAATTATACCTATTTGGTAATAAGTTGTGTAATAACTTAAAATTGAATTCTGATATTTTGTTTTCTTTCATAGCTTGTAAATTAAATGACCATATGACTTTCCAGTCGATTTGTAATTCTGTACTATTTAACATTTCTTCCCATTTCTCTTTTATTGGAGGTCTAACAATTGAATGAATAGATGTCAATTGATGCAACTCATGTGATGCATATTTCACGCATGAGTGATTAAAATCAATTTGAAGAAAGGGTACCAAAAAGCATTTGGCGGACGACATCTGAATTTCAAAGAGAAAATCACATTTCTAGAAAGTTCATTTTTTGCCCTTTCATATGACACCTCAATCAGGAAAAATGAGCTAGGAATAAATAAAGGTTCTGTTTGTTTAAAGTAGTGCTTGTATTTCCATAATTTGATGAAACGAATTCGTTTTCACTGGCTGCCTGCCGTAGCAACAAACAGAGTTGACAAAAGACTTAACTCCGTTTCGTTGACGATCAGCCATGCATCGTGTCTTTCGTCTTCTTTGTTCAAATGCCCATTTCGTCTACCTTCCAAAAGGTCTAATAATCATTTGATGATTATAATAATTTATGAATAATTATCAGACCATATGGATAGTAGACAAAATGAGCTTTAGACAAACTGGGAATAAGACCGACTGGAAATTAGACTAAATGTGTAATAGTCCAAAAGGGTAGTATATTTATTGGATATTAGACCAATGGAAAAAAGACCAAATGACTTTTAGCGTAAATGGTCATTAGACCAAGTGATAACTAGACGAAATGATTACTAG